CAGGGACTCTTTATTAACAGGACAGATGTTAGACAGGGACTCCATTAAAAGGACGTATGTGAGACATGGATTGTATTACTAGGACAGATGTGAGAAAGAGACTACTAGTAGGACAGATGTGAGACAGACATAATAGGACAGATGTGAGTCAGGGACTCTGTTTTAGTAGGGCAGAGGTGAGACAGGGACTCTATTAATAGGACAGATGTGACACGTAAATTTTGTATTAGTAGATCAGATATGAGACAGGGATTTTGTATTAGTAGGACAGATGTGAGACAGGGACTATTTATTCATAGGAGAGATGTGAGACAGGGGTTTTGTATTAGTAGGACAGATGTGAGACAGGGACTATTTATTCATAGGAGAGATGTGAGAAAGGGGTTTTGTATTAGTAGGACAGGTGTGAGACAGGGACTCTTTATTCATGGGAGAGATGTGAGACAGGGGTTTTGTATTAGTAGGACAGGTGTTAGACAGAGACTCTTTATTCATGGGAGAGATGTGAGACCTTCATTATTCTGGACTGAGTGTAGCCCTGCTTCTGCTGCACATCCTTGTTATTTAAGAAGTGTGGCTTATTTCCATGTTCACCATCCTGCAGTTAAGGTTGCAGTGTTCTAGTGTCTTTGCTGGTCTGCTTCCCCACGGCACTCCCTGAAAAGCAGCACCCCGACATCCCGACGGGTTCACACTGCGAGTAACAGCACGACATCCTGTGCTGGCCGATCCCCCTGCTCCACACTGGCTCCTAGAGGCCAGCTGTGGTAGGACAGGCTCATGCCACTGTTCCCCCGTTTCAGGGGAAGCCCCACAGCGACCTTCTGCGATTAATCTCTCTTTTTGTGTGTTTGCTGTCTGTTTCCATGACCTGCCGTTCATCTTCCCTGATATACACGTCAAGTTATGCGGTGCGTCGTGCTTTTACAGCGTCTTGTGGTGGGACGGCAAACGGAACCATATGACGGGGACTCGGTAACGAAGAAAGCTTTTACTGGAAAAACATCCCCTTTCGGAAGATTGATGCGGGTTCTGAGGGGGGTGGGGGGAGTGGGAGGCCGCACCAGCACAACAGAAGCATAAACTTGAAAGCAAAGTGGCCAGTTTGCGGTAGGATAAAACGGAATCTGCCTTATTTAACTCTGAGGCCAAAGAGAAACCGAGGCAGGCGAATCGTAAACACTGGCCCAGGTTACTGCATGTGGGGTTAGGCGAGTCGAATGCGGCGTGTCATACCTACGCTGGGGGTGGGGTGGGGATGGGGGGGACAGCGACTGGATCGGTTCCCCGTACAGTGAGCGCATCCATTCCACCCTGACAGACTCACACGGGCGAGAAGGAGAAGATCTGCCTTTACTGTGGACAGAAGTTCGCCAGCAACGGCACGCTGAGGGTCCACATCCGCAGCCACACCGGTGAGTCCATCACATCCCGCCTCACCCTTTCCGCTCTCCACTTCCAACACCAACACCCGCGCCCACCGCCAGTCCTGTGAGGTTCTGTGATTCTGGGCCTGTCCACGTCTGCCAGCCTACAGGAAGAGGACCTCGTGTCACTTCCTGTTTTATTTCCACTCCCGCCTCGTCATCTGTTCCTCTCCGATTTGGTACGCCTCCCCACCCCGCCTCAGTCTGAATAGCCTGCACTCCCCTCCCTCGCAGTCAGGGATGCAGCTAGAAATCCTGGGTCCTGTAACAAAATGCCTCCTTGAGCCCCCGCGTCCAGTGAAATTCCGAATTTTGCATATTTAAGGGCCCCTGTGAAATGCTGTACCTCGTGAATCTACCAGGGTATCCATGCCCTTATTTGCGTCCCTGCTCACAATACATCTACCCAGAATGCTCTGGGCCAGCTGATGGATGCTATATTGTACGGTATAACAGGAAGTGAACCTGTTGCCTTGGTGTGATTTTGGTAGTCCCTAGTAAGTGGGCCGGATGAAGTTACGCCTCCTGTTTGAGTGGGCCGCCTCCGCAGACATGTCCAGCTGGTTTTGTGAAGAAGTATCTGCACTTGGTGTCACCCCCTGGCAGAACCCCCAGCCCCCCTTCGGCTCTGTCCCCCTGCTGCCCCCCGCGTTTTCCCCGTCGTTTCTCCCTTTATCTGCGGACGCCGGAATACCAATGAGGATGGACAATGGCCGCCCCCCTCCCCGGCTTAGTGTGTGAATCTGCGTGTGGGGTGCACAGGGGTGCAGGGAGCGAGGCATGCTGGGAACTCACAGTGACGGTATTTGCATTAGATAAGACCTGCTGGACAGTTTCTTTATCCATGTGTTATTGTGTCCTGCATTCATGTAACCAAAATCCACACATCCATAAATCCATCTGTCCATCCTTACGTCCATACATTCATCCATCTATACATCTGTATATATCTAATAATCATCCATCAATCTATGCATACATCTATCCATCCATCTTTACATAAATCCTTCCATGCCATCTTTCGGGGGTCCTCATACACATGCTGAACCACCTGATGCACACAGCCCTTGTGCCTTCATCCCCCTGCTGAGGAAGACTCCTCACCGTGCAAGGATATACCCTCATAAATCCGCGGAGACCTTTTTCCAAATGAATTTCCTTCACAAAATGCCTTCACTCCATCACACGCACGGGGCCTTATACAGCTTAAACGCTCCAGTCCCTCCCAGCTTTCATGTCCTAATAGAGACCACGCAGCCCCCCCCCAAAACGAGCGCGGGGCATTTGGGGGCCAGCCTCTGGTAGGTCCCGGCAGGGGCGAGGGCAGCGTGAGGCACGAAAGCAGGACGACACCCCCTACAGGGATCACCGGCGGGAGTATACATACAGGCGCCTGAGAATAAACAAGACACTGGGATTCTGGGAATGCTGGGGCGGGGAGCTTGTTTGGGCATCTCAGAGAGGGAAAAACACTAGGAAGAAAGGCAGCCGTCCTGCGGGGCGACCTCAGGGGTGGCGCTGGCCGTAAATCAGCCCCATCCTCTCTCTCACGATCCACAGCTTCTTTTCTGCCCTGTTTTGTTTCCCGTCATCGCTGTGGTGCCGGGCCCGGCCATGTGGGCCGGGGGAACCAACCCGGTGCCGATCCATGACAGCCAGGTTCTGTTTGCGCAGATGCTGGCTCTGACACTTCACAGTAAATCCTCATTCCCTACTCTCTATGACGGCCTCCGCGATTGGCTGCAGCACATCTTGTTTAACGCGTGCCGGGAAAACCCAGCTTCAGGAACTCTGAGAAGCCAGTGTCCTCTGGATCCCCCCCCCCCCCCCCCCCCCCCCAAATCAGGATCACATGCCCCATGGAACAGTCGCAAGCACCAGAGCACAGAGGTGCAGTTATTAAAACTTTGCTGCCAGCTTAATTACATTTCCACCCCCCCCCCTCCATTTGCTTCACTCTGTCAGTGGGCTGGGCCTGGTGTGGTGGGGGGGGGGTGCACAGCAAAGAGCTTAATCATTGCAGCTTGTCCCCCACGGGAGCCATTGGCGTTATCCGCTCTTACTGAGGTTCTTCACGACAACTGGGCTGGCTTCCTTATCTGGGTAGACCGTGGCATCTGCGATGTGTTCCGGAAAGTTCTGCCAGCAGACAGCCCGCTTCGAATCAGGAGAGCGGCCGCTCAGTGTCTCACAGCTGCGGTGTCTTTGTATCCACCAGCATAGACGATTAAAAGGAAAGTTGTGGCTAAAATGTGAGCGCAGATCCAGCTTTAATCCCAGATCAGCTTGACCGGGGCGTCTGACGTATCATCAGTGTGGTAAACTCTGCCCTGAGTGTTTTCAGATCCCTGTCACTAACTTGGCTTCTGTGCTTCACTTTGTCTTGGTTTCTCTCAGGTGCACGAGGTGTTCGACTGTCCGGCGTGCGACAAGAAATTCATCTCCACCAATCAGCTCAAGCGGCACATGATAACGCACTCAGGTACGGCTAAGAGCAGCACCGCCTGTGATTCAGCCCCAATCGGAATGGCCGCAGGATGGCCCGGGGAGGGAGTGTTTCCTCTATCTGATTGGCTGTTTTCCCTCATTGCCACCTCCCCCTCCGGGCTCGCAGAGAAGCGGCCGTACACCTGCGAGGTTTGCAGCCGCTCCTTCAAGCGCCTGGACCAGGTGACAGCGCACAAGATCATCCACAGCGAGGACAAGCCCTACAAGTGCAAGCTGTGCGGGAAGGAGTTCGCCCACAGGAATGTCTACAAGAACCACAAGAAGGTAATGCGAATGGGGCGGGGCATGGGCAGAGCGTGGGCGGGGCATGGGCAGGGCTGATAAGGAAGGGGTGGGGTTAGAACATAAGAACATAAGAAATATACAAACGAGAGGAGGCCATTCGGCCCATCGAGGGTGGGCCATGGGGAGGATTGACACTAGAATGGGTGGAGCATGTGTGGAACAGGGGTGTAGCATGGGTGGCGTATGGATGGCAATGCATGAGATGGGATAGAGAATGAGTGGGAAGGGGTGGAGCATGATAGGGAAGGGGTGGAGACAGATGTAGGAAGGAGCAGGGCAGAGGTAGTAGCCATTACATCATCTTGGATTGTTGGCTGTGTTTTCCCATGAATAAATTATGGCAATATGTCTCACACACGTGCACACACACACACATATGCATACACTCATGCATACACACACATATACACACACACGCACGCACATGTAGGGTAAACATTAGGGATGCAACGGTACTCGGTAAAATACCGGACCGTTCGGTACNGGGGGAGATGGGAACACAAAGTCAATCCCCCATTTCCTCCCGTCATTCATCTCCTGACGATCAGTCTTTGATTTGACCCCACCCACACAGAACAGGGGTGAAATCAGGTTGGCGGAGCTCCACAGGGCTTATGGAGATGGTCGGATCGGACCCTGCCTGCCACGTGGAATGGCCTGGCTCAAACCATCAGATGGATGGTGGGGGGGCGGGGTGACGCATTGGCAGAACTGCTGGTGGTTTTGAAGTCATTGTGATGCTTTTTTTCCCCCCTCATTCCAGATATTGTTTTGTCTCCCGTCGGGCATGGGGAATAAAGATGGAAGTTTTATCTTTGCGTAAACAAACTTCTACAAAGGACCCCCATGGATGGCGAAGCGGCCAGCACTGACAGATCCTCTCAGGGCATTTGAGACCTAAATCCAGGGGTTGTTTGCTTTCCCGCTGCTGTGGGATTACGGCGATGAGCGATCTGAGACTTTAACTCCGAAGAAAGCATGCGGCGATCGTTTTTTTTTAAATTCGATGTTTTTAAGACGTCGTTTCGCTCACCCTGCCCGGCGTGATCCGTGAGGGTCCGGCAGTGCCGACGATGACGTCTGTCTGGCCTCCGACCGTGCGCAACCATGTCAGTCCGCGGTCTTCCTTTGAAGATGCTCCCCAGAACTGTGCCATCAGACCAGAGAGGTAACTTTGCTGGTTTTCCCAGGAAACCTGTCAGGACTGTCAGAGATGCATAAATTAGAAGAATTCAAGATGAAAAGGATCTGAGCGGGAGGGAGATCAAACACGGTTATCGCACAGAACAAAGAAACGTGTCTGTCTCCAGGGGCTAACTATACCCTCCTTTGTGTTCTTAGAGGGTTGACCGTGCCCTCCTCTCTGTACCCTGACTGTACCCTCTTCTCTGTACCCTGACCATACCCTCCTCTCTGTACCCTGAATGTACACTCCTCTCTGTACCCTGACCGTAACCCTCCTGTCTGTACTCAGAGGGCTGACCATACCCTCATCTCTGTACCCTGACCATGCCCTCCTCTCTGTACCCTGAATGTACCCTCCTCTCTGTATCCTGAGTATACCCTTCTGTCTGTACCCTGACCGTAACCCTCCTGTCTGTACCGTACAGGGACTGACCGTACCCGCCTCTCTGTAACCAGAGGCTGATCGTACCCTCCTCTCTATGCCCTGACTGTACCCTCTTCTCTGTACCGTACAGGGACTGACCATACCCTCCTCTCTGTGCCCTGACCATACCCTCCTCTCTGTAACCAGAGACTGACCGTACCCTCCTCTCTGTGCCCTGACTGTACCCTCCTCTCTGTACCGTACAAGGACTGACCGTACACTCCTCTCTGTATCCTGACTGTACCCTCCTGTCTGTACTCAGAGGGCTGACCATACCCTCCTCTCTGTACCCTGACCATACCCTCCTCTCTTTACCTTGAATGTACCCTCCTCTCTGTATCCTGACTGTACCCTCCTGTCTGTACCCAGAGGGCTGACCATACCCTCCTCTCTGTACCCTGACCATACCCTCCTCTCTTTACCTTGAATGTACCCTCCTCTCTGTACCCTGACTGTACCCTTCTGTCTGTAACCTGACTCTAACCCTCCTGTTTGTACCGTACAGGGACTGACTGTACCCTCCTCTCTGTAACCAGAGGCTAACCGTACCCTCCTCTCTGTGCCCTGACCATACCCTCCTCTCTGTACCATACAAGGGTTGACCATACCCTCCTCTGTGTTCCCTGACCGTACCCTCCTGTCTGTACCCTGACCATACTCTCCTCTTTGTACCCAGAGGGCTGACCGTACCCTCCTCTCTGTATCCTGACATTACCCTCCTCTCTGTGTCCTGACTGTACCCTCCTTGCTGTACCATACAGGGACACACCGTACCCTCTTCTCTGTGCCCTGACCATTCCCTCCTCTCTGTACCGTACAAGGGCTGACCATACCCTCCTCAGTGTACCCTGACCGTACCCTCCTCTTTGTATCCTGACTGTACCCTCCTCTCTGTACGCTGACCAAACCCTCCTGTCTGTACCCTGACTATACTCTCCTCTTTGTACCCAGAGGGCTAACCATACCCTCCTCATTGTATCCTGACCATACCCTCCTCTCTGTACCGTACAGGGACTGACCGTACCCTCTTATCTGTACCCCGAATGTACCCTCCTCTCTGTGCCCTGACCGTACTTTCCTCTCTGTGCCCTGACCGTACCCTACTATTTGTACCCTGACCGTACCCTCCTGACTGTACCCTAACCGTTCTCTCCTCTTTGTACCCAGAGGGTTGACCGTACCCTCCTCTCTGTATCCTGACCATACCCTCCTCTCAGTGCCCTGACCGTACCCTCCTTACTCGGTTATCCAGTTAAGTGGTTATCCCTATGAGATCCCAACCTGCTTACCCACCCCCACATGCCACCTGCTGCTTATAAAACTCCAGCGCCCGCAGCCTGCCCCTCCCCCCACCAAGCAAGCACAGCTGTGTGCAGCGGAGGCCTATCATACTGGAGAGAACATGCCTCTGAGGAGACGCAGGGGGGTGGAGGAAGAGGCTGGCCCCGGCTCTCAGCCCTGGGGGTGAAGGGTGATTTCCCAGAGCGGGCTGCCCCGTCGCATGCCGAGCATGGGTGCTGACATGCAAGGTCCGTGGCTTGTATGTGGGGTTGGGGGGGGGGGAAAGGGGCCCCCCCCCTTTGCCCCCCCCCCCCCATCACTCTGATATGATAGCTACACCCCTCTTGGCGCTGAGATGGTATGGGGTGGGGGGATCCTGCTGCGTGTGTCGGGCCCGGTCCGATGTTACTCACGCCGGGGCTGCACAGAAGGCCGAATAGAGGGATCTGATCCTGTGTGTGTGTGGGTAAGACATCAAAACCTAATAATGCCTCATATCTTGTGTGTGTGTGCGGAGAATCTAACTCACCCACAACAAGTACCTCCCTGCCCCCCCAAGGCCCTTGTGACCTCTTCCACTCCCAGCTTCCACGCGGTTGTGTCCTGGGGGGGGGGGGTCTTACTTCTCTCGCACGCTGTTCTCATCTGCATCATACGTATGTGCTTATTAAGCAGGAAAAGCTGTGTGGTGGATAAAAGATCAGCCAAAGCGGGAATGGCATCGAAGTATGGGTCAAGTGGCAGGGTGCTGCCACGTCTGACCCCCCCATTAGCCTTTGGGGGGTGGGGGGAGTCTGCTAATGGCCTGCAGGCCTGGCTGTGGAGGCTTCCCTCAGGGGACTGGCAGCCCACAGCTCAGGGCCCCTCTGGGCTCTTCTGGATGAAGCTGCTCTATTGGTTCTGTTTCGACTGGACAGCCCTCATTAGTCAGTCCTTACTGGAGCGGGGCTGCCTTATTGGTTCAGTTTCTATTGGACTGTCTTCATTGGTCAGTCCGTTCTGGAGCGGGGCTGCCTTATTGGTTTAGTTTCTATTGGACTGTCTTCATTGGTCAGTCCGTACTGGATCGGGGCTGCCTTATTGGTTCCGTTTCTACTGGACAGCCCTCATTGGTCAGTCCTTACTAGATCGGGGCTACTTTATTGGATTTGGGCTATCTGGTTGTACTGGTACTACTGGTCGTCATTGCCAGCATAGGAGACAGACCTCAGTTCCTTTGCTAGTGGGCCATTTTTGGAAGCAGCAGAGGAGAAGCAACCTTGGAGTGCCAGTAGGAGGTGTCTGTTAGGGTTGGCCAAGCATAACCTGCCCTGGGTTCACTGCCAGCCTGTGTGTAATCTTCGTGTGTGTCTGTTCGTGAAGTCAGCGAGGGTGTGACCAGCTGTTTCACAATCAGTTATGCGTGTATTTGGATCGCTTTGCATGACCCGGCACGCCCCCTGCAATGCCCCCTCAGGCGAAGATGTGCGTGCTAGTACCACCCCAAAAGCAACAGGGGGCGTTCTGCAGCTGCACGCCTGGCACGAATTCTGCCATTGTGGGGGGGGGGGGACCTTCAAACAGGCTACCCCCCCCAACCCCTGCTGCAGGATGGCAAACTTCACGCCTCCTAAACTCTGTGAAATTACCCTGTCTGTTAATCCCATTAGAGAACAGGATCTGTCGGGGTTGGGGGGGGCTGTTTATACCCCCCAAACAGCCGTAACACAACATCTCATTAAGGCACGTTCCTCTCTGTACCGCACACACACACACACACACACCAGGCACCCCATGACTTCTCGGTTCCCTCATTCACCCATCTGGCCGGCTGTAATGGGATTCTCCACCAGCCATTAGTGGACCGACTTGCATTACGCCGAATTACCCAGGATCACGTGCAATTGCGCCGAATCCCCCCGAATTACGCTGAGCCGCACTCCGTCGCATTAGATTAGATTACGTCGCATTATGCCGCAGGATATGAAACCGCATTCCGTTACACTGCGGCACGCAGACTCGCATTCCGTTGCGGGCGTGTAAAATTCCAGTGAGCGACACTCAATTGCGTTTCACTGCCGCACTGCTGACGACTCCGAACGGTTGCCCCCCCCCCCACCTTCCCCCTTTGGTGAGGTCCATTTTCAAGTATCAGTTACTTCAGTTCTGGTTGTTATTTTTGCTTGAAACTGACCATATTCAATAAATCTGTTATTTTTATAAAAATCAATGATTCAGAATGGGGACGGTGTGTCTCAACGGGTTAGGATGTCTGTTCGGATTCCATGGTCTTTGGAGCGATGTCACTGCTGGGCCCTTCAGCAAGGCCCTCATCCCCCAGTAGCTCCAGGGACTGTCGGACCCAGCTTTCTGAAATGCACGTCGCCTCTGATAAAAACACTACATAAATAAAATGGAAAAACGCAACTAACAAAATGAACATTGCAGTGGCCGGAACGGTAAAGACGGTAAAAGGGGAACAGGTCACTTTAAATCCCCTGTCTCCGCGGCTGTGTTTGAAAGCAGGCTTGTCACCTGTCGGCCGCATGCGGCGCACGTCAGCCGACTGCTGATTGGACGTGTCAGCGTAAAGGGGGCGGGTTTTAGCCGCGCAGTCGTCCCATCTATTCGGTTTGCTTTGGCCGCGTGCGGACGGCTGTAATTCAAACCAGTGCGCCGATTGAGGCTGAACCCTGGGGGAGGGGGTGTGGGAGTGGGGCGAATCTCCTCCTCTTCACAGAGGAGGCGGCGGATACCAGCAGGGGGCGCCATCCATGCTGAGGCGGAGACATCGACCCCCCCCATGGAATGTCTGGGCAGGACCGGCCGCACACAAGCCCTGCCACCCTACACCCGGCTGATTGAACACGGCCCTCAGCTTTTTTGTTTTCTGCCCCTAATACGCTCCTCCGAGGGGGTAAACGAATCCACATTGCGGCGGGCCCCTGACTGACGGCCCCATCGCTGCTCGCCGGCAATCCGGCTGCCGCTGATAGCATCTCTGAGCCCCTCTTTGATCCCCCACCCCTGGACGATATCGCGGCCTGGAGTCCACCCCCCACGCGGCCGAGAGGAAATGGGTGTGAGACCTGGAGCTGGTTCTGCGGCTCCCGTCAGGCCCAGAATGAGCCACAGGCCCGTTAGTAATGTTATTATTAGCATTATTAGTGTTTATTATTACTATAGCTCTGCTTATCTCCGCTGGGCCTGTAAGGCAAGCAGCCCGCTGTTACGGTGTCTGCCCTGCTGCGCCCTGACCTCTGGGGTAATTGTGTAATTGAGTAATTGAGTAATTGGGTAAGGCATACATAAACAGCGCTGAGCTTCCTGCTTCACCTGGGTCTGTCTTAACAGATGCTCCTCACTCTGAGATGGTCCAACTTAGGATATTTCAAGTCAACGTCAAAGTGAACTTTATTGTCATCTCAACCATATAAATTATAAGGTGGGACGAGATGGCGAAGCTCGAGGTCTGCAGTGTCCAGATACTAGTGCAAATAAGAATTAAAACTTAAAAACAAGGCACGACAAGACATTGTGCGAAAGACAAGACAAGACAGAAGTCTTAGCAGCATCGCGTTGTAATAAGTAACGTACATTGATGCAGTGCATAGTCGTGCATAGTCATATTTCAACTTCATGATGGCGCAGTAGTGATGCACATTCAGCAGACAGCTTGAATTTTGATCCGTTTCCAGGATAGCGATATGCCGTATGATACTTTATACTGATGAGGGGTGGTGACGACATCCACACATCTACGCTCCCGGCCTCTGTTGTAGCAATTGCGAGCGTAAAACATCACTTATGATGTCCAACAACATATCGTACGGTGTTTTTCTTTCTGTGTTTAGCCAAATAAACTTGTATTTAAAGTTATTTTCTTTTCAGTTACTAGTATTTAGTTAGGTATTTTTTTTATTAGATGTTTACTTATTCAGTGATAGTAGTTATTTATCATCGTTTATCATATCACATTCAACTGATAACATGATTGGTTCATTTTGACATAACCTCAAGTGTTGGAGCACCTACATATACCTCTATATATCTATATATATATATATATATCTCCTCCTATGAAGGAAAACTGTCAGCCATTGGAGGTCGTCGCTATGACAACTTCCCTGCCTCTGTCTCCTCCCCCCCTGACCCGCCCCCTTTCTCCATTCCAGGTGAGCGCCCGTACCAGTGCCCCTACTGCGACAAGGCCTTCAGCAAGAACGACGGGCTGAAGATGCACATTCGCACTCACACCCGGGTAAGTGAAGCCCCACCCCCATCAACATCCACATGCTGGAGTGATTTGGCCTCCAGCCAATAGCTGTTTACCCCATCCATAACCCCGCCCCCTCCACATGACCACAAGCAGCCATGTTGATGGCAGTCTTCTTAAAACCCTTTCTGGGCCCACAGCCAGTCGCGCCTCACTTGCTATCCAAAGGCAGGTTTGAAGGATGCCCGAGTGTCCTCTCCAGAGCTTTCTCTTTCTGGAATGTTCTTAATGTCAGCTGAAAGGGTCACCGCACATGAAAGGACGTCGAGCATCTGCGGTCCATCACGCCCCGGTGCGGCGTTACATTCTAGACGGACGCCCCACACACTTTAGCACGCGTGCTGTCGTTACCCCCCCCCCCCCCCCCCCCCCCCCCCCCCCTCCAGAGTCACATTCATAACAAGCTCCGCTAAGATCCCTCCCCTCTTTCTCTCTCTCCACTGTTGATCCGATTTTGTCTTTGCGGGTGAAAATGACAGCGGTGGAGAGTTACTCTCCTCCATTTACACCATCGTTAACAAATTAACACTCATCACATCAGAGGAGGCTGACCTCCCTCAGAGCACCGTTTCTTAGTTTGTGGTTAAAAACAAATATTTTTTTGTTCTAACCTCAGACTTTGTTTTTTTAACAGTGCATGAAGGCACCGTGCTGCTATGCTGGCAGTATGTTCCGTTTATTGTTTTTGGTTTGAATTTTTTAAAATTTGGGTTGTGACTTAATCACCAAATGAAAATGTAGGTTCTGAGCCTAATCCTATTGAGAACCACTGCTCTAGGTTTTGGTTCGGGGTTTAATGTGGACTCCATAATATGGGTTTAGTAGAGACCCCTCGACTAGAATTATACTCTAAACATTTATGACATCAATGCCCAGGAGCTCGGTTATGATTGGCTGTCTGAGATACTCCCTCTGAATGGGGTCTAACACACTGACAGAGAAGCTGGGAGCTTCAGGCTGCTTCAGATGTACGACAGCAGTGCTGGGCCGGTAAAGGAGGCAGTCACCTGATGGGTTAGGGCTGCGGGGAAAGCTTTGGAGAAGCGTAAAGGCTTTTATCGACATCAGTAGCATTTCTGCCATGTCTGTCCCCATTGGCTTGGGGGCAGCTTTTCGGCTGACACTCAACAACGACAACATCCGGCCCATAATGCAACAGCAGCTTCCCAGCCCCAGAGAGGGGAGATGGTGCTTTTTTAATTTACCTTAGTTTCTGTTGCCGTCCACTTTTTATTGGTGTTTGTCTCTGTATTTGCGTTGCTTTTTAGGATAGCTATAATCTGTCTGCAGTCTTCTCTTGTTCCCACCATGAAGTCGCTCTTTCGCTATTGGCTGTGGGCTTTCCAGGTCGTTATAAGCATAAGCCCAGCACAGTTGCCCCCCCCCCCCCCGCCCCAGCCCTCACACCCCATATGTAGGGAAATCCCGCCGATCAAGTCGCGTGTCAGAACACAGGTGCGTTTCAGGAGCGCGAGTCTGTTTGTGTGCTACACCTTCCTGGGTACTTCCCAGGATGCCCTAGGGGCTGCCGTCTGCTTGGAAGGAGGTGGAGAAGGCAGGGCATTCGCAGGCTTCTTTTGGCACGAGGCTGACTCGCGGTTATGGAATACATTCGCTGTATGGCGCGAGTTGGTGGGTGGGGCTTGCTGGAGGGGGTTGGGGCTTCACTGCAGGTCATTAGCGTGAGCTGGCTAGAGGCGGCAGTAAGTTGGGCTTATTGGTTGATTCGGGACCTCTGGGATTCCGTTAGCCAGGAATTCCCCTCTCCCCGGCTAAGACATGCCGCCCCAGAGCATCCTCAGTGATACGCGTATGTTTTATGGCGAAAGATGAAGGTAACTCTCAGGAAGGCCGTGGAAGTTTCCAGAAGGCCCAGTTTACCAGTGGCATTGCCGGAGACATCCATGTGTACGTCCCTGGAACACAAGCCCAGCCCCATACCAGGCAGGGTGGTCGGGCGCTTGTCTTGCTGCTTTTTCGGTTTTGGGGTCCGGAGCACGCCTCCCATGAGCCCGCAAATGAAAGCCAGCCTTCCCAGCATCCCACAGGCTCTCCTGACTTGCCCACCAGCCTACTGGGCTAGACCACCCAAACAAATGAGCTAGTGGGTTCTTATCGATCAGATCAGGAATGGTGGGCTAGCTTAGGGGGTGGAGAGTCGCGGCATTTTATCTGATCTAACTCCGACACCGACTTCCCATTGTGAGGTTCCCTGCCACAGCCCCTGCTGCTGTGCCCTCTGCTTCAGCAGGATGCCAGTCCAGAAGGCTTCCTTTTGATGGACCAGCTGCGGGACTCAAACACTTAAGGAACCCTTTGCGATTGGGGGAGGGGGGGTTGGGTGTTGGTGGCGTCTTTATAGACTGGCCAGCAGTTTTTGGGGTCAGCCAACCTTGAGGGGCGCAGGAGGAGTGAGGAATTACCCGTAACACTCAGATGAAGATGGGAGGGGTGGTGGGACAGTGACATTCGGCAGCCGTGAGTTAAAACGCATCAAGATGCTAGCTTTTGACTCGTAGGTGGTTCCAGACCCTACATAGCGAGGCTTCAGCCACCCTATTTTTTTCAAACCCTAGAAGCGCCCCTGGTTTGAGTCATTCCCGCGACGTCCTGCACGGAAATTTCCAGAAGGAAAGATGGGAAATGAGAGGCCCTGCAGAAGCTGGAATCTTTTCAGGGGCAGCCGGGTCCTCGTTTGTGTAAATAAAGCCATACGATTCCCAATTTGTTTGCTAAATGGACTCTGCCGAGGAAACGTGTCGACTGAGAGATTAAATGCTGGCTTTTTATTTGTTTGTTTTAGCCAGGAAACTCGAGCGGGCTGGTTCCAGGGGTTCAGCAGCAGGGGGGGGGCTTGGACTCTGACCCCGGTGTCTTGGGGATCTCGACCTGACTGCTGGAGATTTGGTAAACAGGCCTGGGAAGGAAGCTGCCTCGCTGCCGCATAGCAGATTTGGACCGGGCCGGGGGGCCAGAAGGGCTGGAATGGATTGAATGAGGCTGGACCTGACCATGCACCAGGCTGCTTATGAACAGTACTCATGAGTACTCACAGTGCTTGCTTCTATATGGAATCAATAGTTGCTCTTTTACTCAATTATATGGCTGAGTATCTTACGGAGTAGTGTAACAGAATTTGCCTGTGTATGTGGTTTCCAGCAGACGGGTGTGTCCCCATTCTCCCTGCCACCCATCCCATTTTCCTCAACCGCCGTCCCAGTCCTGGCACCCCACCTCCCCAGTATGTCTGCCTGTGCCCACCCTTGGCTCCCTGACTGCTATCAGGGCCCGCCAGGCTACATGGGGTGGGGTGACAGGCTGTCTCCACTTATTGTCATACTGTCTGTCGGGGGTCCGATTCTCCATGGTAACAGTGTCCATGGTTTCAATACAGAGACACCTGTATGGACAGGCTCAATACAAAGACACTTGCATAGAAGGGCTCAGTACAGAGACACCTGTATGGACAGGCTCAATACAAAGACACCTGCATAGAAGGGCTCAGTACAGAGACACCTGTATGGACAGGCTCAATACAAAGACACCTGCATAGAAGGGCTCAGTACAGAGACACC